TGACTTATGGGCATAATTTTTTTTATTGGCAGCAACATGTTATGGATGTGATATTAATGTTTAGAATACTTTAAATATTATCAAACTTTTATTTTATTTTTTTATATTTCAATTGAATTTTAGTGCCTTTTTTTCTTTGTAGTGTTATTTCTTGATGTAGAAAACATCAAATATTACTTTTCAACAAATTGCGTATTAGTAAAATTCAAGGTAAATTACAATAGTATAAAAATATGTTTCTATTTATATAAACCAAAAAATTGTACTAGAAATATTGAAAAGATTTAATAAAACTATTTTGTAACTCTACTGAAAACATGAAACTAATGGAAAAGTACTTTAAAAAATACTTTCTATGTAGATTGAAAGATAGTAACTTTTAATTTGTCTTAATTGTTTAGGTTTGTTATTTTTTTTTAGATTTTAGTTTTTCTAAAATATTTATTTTATTTTTAAGGATTTGGCTTTGAAGATTAATATTGCATTTTTTTTATTGGAATTGGTTTGGAAGTGATGTTAAATAAATATAATTCAACGCTACTAAGAAATTTCATTGATCGTGAAGTTTACACTTCATTGTCATTTGTCTTATAGTTGTATTGGTATAAATTTTAACTTATTTTTTTAATATACTTTTTCAATTAGTCAAAACTTAAAAATATGTTTTTACATAATATTATTACTACATGTTTTTTAATAATATTTAAAAATCAAATTTAGCCTAAATTGCTACTCAACTTAATAATCAACCCACAATCAAACTAACCCACTCGACCAACTCAAAATTTGATGAACTCAAAGCTCAACCAACCTAAACATTACTTTGGACGAAAGTGATTTTTACTAATGTATGTTTAGATTCTAATAGTTTTGGGTTACCAGGCATGAATTTGATTAAATTTGACCATTGGTTAAAAATGGCGTTTGATGAGATTCAAAGGTAAATTTTGTCATGTAGGAATCCTAATAATTATAGATCAAAATACTATATATACTACTATCACATTGAGAACTGTTTATGATATTCATGCAATAATCCATGCAACGTTCTCATGGTGAGTCAGTCAAATATATTATTACTCCTAATGTGTGTAAGGATTTGATATCTCATATTCATGATATGAGAGATTTAATCATCAATCTACTCACATTGGTCTCAATATATTATATTGTCTTAATATTAATACTTGACTGTGAATATTTTAAGAAGATACTAAGTAAGATTTCGTAATTGAATTATTTAATTGATGCCATACAAAGTTGTATTTATTATTCTAAGAATATCATTGTATTCTTAATAAAATAATTAAATATGAAATATCACATTTATTAGTATAATACTTATGGTAAAAAAGGTATGTTCATAAGAAAAAAGCACCCCATACACATCCTAACACTACAAGTCTCAAAAGATAATAATTAGTTCAAAAGATCTCAATTTCAATGTAAAAAAAATATATGTTTTTACATTTTCAACTCAAAGGTCCTTTGAATAATTATTCACAGTATATTATTAACTAATGCTCCTTATTAAGAATCCAAGTCTCATCCCAAATGATATGTTTTATCTTGAACCAAGACACAAGACATCAAATGAGGTTTTTATGAACTATCTCATTTTTATCATGAAAAAAGTCACCAAATTTTTAGAGTTTATTAAAGAAAAGTGTGCATATTATGAGTTAGCTTAAGATTGCTCCAAATTCTTAAGAAATCAAGTGCATTACATAGCAAAAGTAATGTTAATTTAAATTACTAGTTGGAAATAGGTAAACTATTAAGAGATTGAATATTTTTCAAGCCAAAGAAACTATCAAACTAAATTAAAAATTTCATCATATTTATGAAAACTAAATTAAAAAGTCATGATATTTTAATAATTAAATAAAAATTTTATAACATTAAAAAAGATCAAATGAGAATAAAAAATTGTAAAAAATCATTTGATAAAAAATAATTATAAAAAATAATGATTAAAAATAATTATAAAAAATAATGATTAAAAATTTAGTATTTGAACTCAATTGAAAAGTGAGAACCAGTAATTAAGCTAAAATGTTTGTGTCACAGTTCCTTTTTGGGAAAGATTTATGACATACTATCCAATTAAAACCAGTATAAATTTTAGGCATTTAAAAAGGATTGAAAATTTAGTTCAAAATGATCATTGGAAAATAAAAACTCAACATTTCAATAGTAAGATAGAGATGTAGATTATAGGAGCATGATTTTTTTACACCAGTGTAAGTCTAAAATTTTTTATATCCAATCTGAGTTTTTTATTTAACTTAAATCTAACATGTTATAATTTATTACTTCACTAGCTGCTTGATTTAAGTTAAATGGAAGGCTTAGATTAGGTGTAAGAGTTTTTAGATTTATAGTGGTATAAGAAATCCTTCCCCCATATATATATACAATTGTCCTTTAACAAAATTTACACAAGAGTTGCTCAGCATTGAGCTCAAAAGAATACAAAGTTGAAAACAAATATTTACATTCCATAATAAGATCTTTAGCTAAATAATCTCGATTCACAACTAAGATAACAAAAATAAAGCTACAAATTTAAAAATGTCAAACTTAAGTCTCTCCTCAACCAAACCTTCCAGCATGAAAAGTGGACACACCACCTATTACACCTGCTCGAGTACCACCATACTGTTATTGTAGCAGATACGATAACACAAATAGAATGCAAGGGTGAACTTATACAACAAATAGCTATAGTCATAATACAAATATAATTATTTATACAACTTAATATATCAAAAAATTTCAGCAAATTAATGCAGCAATTCAGCCCATTCCCAGTCCATCTAATGCAAATGCAATAGCTCAGTTCCAGCTAGTTTCACAGTTCAAATAATCCAAAAGGAACCTATAATTTTTTTTCCTATTGTTACATGTCTAACTACCTAAACATGTAACTCGGCTCTAGAATGATGAAATCAGCATGATGCAGCACAACCATATATATATATATATATATATATATCCTTTCTTCCTGATTTCTATTTTAGATATTTATGCTCTAAATAAAACCAGACAATTCTATGAATTCATCTTAGTAGACTCATATTCTGTTTCTATAAAACACTATAAGGATAAAAAAGATCCATCCATTATTACTCATTAGACAATTCAAATTCTCAGTCTTAACTCCAAAAAATTTTGGGAAAAATCTAAATACATATTGATGCTTGGACGAGAATTTATATATATATATATATATATATATATATATATATATATATATAGCATTTTCAACATCATATTATAGCATCTCAAACATCTGTCCCAGACACAAACAATTTCATACCATTTACCAAAACAATAGACCTTAGCCATACATACTCTTGGTTCTATCCTAAGATTTATTTATGCATCACTCCATTCTCAGCTAAATCAAAATTTATAGTATCTGAGTGAATAATAAAGGCCATCTAGGGTAAGCTCTCTTTACTTAAAAATGGATTTTCTTACATTATACTGCTCGTGAGTTTCAAAGAAAGAGCTAGAATGTTCAGGTACAAAATATCGCTTGAAGGACTTAGATCTCCCTAGTATGATAAGGTAGAAAGCTCTTAAGAAAGAGAAAACAAAGAATAAAGAGTGAAGTTGGAGAATTAAGCTCTGGAAACTTACTTGGATCTGAACGGAATAGGTATTCACCCTCAGATTAGGAAGAGATTCGGGCTTCAAGAGATTTTCTCTAAGAAGAAAAGGTGAGAGAACCTAGAGAAAACGAGAGAGAAAAACTTTTTGGTGAGAAATGAAAGTTTTTGGAGGCTGGAGTTCCTTAAATACCCCTCCAAATTTGCGCATTTTCGCTTAAGCAAACTCTCGCCTGGGCAAGAACATCCTCGCCTAAGCGAGAAAATAAGACAATTGTACTACTTAATTTTCTCTCGCTTGAGCGAGATGCATTCTTGCGTGAGTAAAAATGGGTCCAAAGAGTTCCTCAATTTTTCTACGACTTCTTGCATGAGCAAGCTCATCTTGCTTGACTTGCTTGAGTGAGATCCCTTCTCGCTGAGCGACAGTTGGAGTGATAATATCTTATCTCGCTTGAACGAGACCAATCTCGCTTCTTACTTAAATGAGAAATATCTCACTTGAGCAAGAAAACCTCCACCAAACTCTTTTTTTTTTTTTTCCAAAATGAAGGCACTACAAATGCTATGCTATATTCCTTACACTAATAAATACATAAAACACTTAATAATCGATCGCAAACCCCCATCACCAATTATATCAAAATAAGCAACCAATTAGCACTCAGACACACAATTTTTATCCAGCAGTTGCACAACTCACACATTTATATTTCAACGTATGAAAATTCATATAATTCTAATAATTACAACACGATTTTAAAAAAATAATACATAATACACATATATAAATATATAAGCATGACAATTTTACTATCTTATTTATTTAAAATATTTACAATTTAAATGTGAGATTATTTATTTATTGTTAATATATTAATAAGATATGTTATATGGTCTAACACCTATTTTAAAATGATTATAAAATATTAAATGAGAAAAGTATAATTTTGTAGAAACCAAAAAACAAGTCCATTTATTACGAACTGATAGCCGTAATGAACAAACTTTTAACATATAGGTTTTCAATCTTATTTTTGAAAGGCAAAGTTTATTATTTTATCTTAAAAGTTGTTTTCTCTCAATAAATAAAAATATTTCAAAACAAAATTTAAAATTGAAATTAATTTAAACATACATTTTAATTATATTGAATAAATACAAATAATTGTAGTAAAATTAATTTAATTTTAACATTAAAAAAAGAAAAAATAATTTTTTATAAAAAATATAATTAATCTATTGTTTTATAATTTTTAATACATTTTAATATAATCCTTAATAAAAAAAATATTTTTAACTTTCTCGACTAGTATTACATTTTGATTTTATTAAGAAAACATTGAAATTGTTATAAATATACAAATACGAAGCAAGAGCCATGACGTTGAAAGTAGGAAATTAGACGCTGTTCATTGTTCAAGCATTCAATAACTAAAAAGACAAAGACATCTCTCTCTCTCTCTCTCTCTAACTCATTTCTGAGTTTCTTCTTCAACCCACCAACAACCATTTTTGCTTTGCCAATAACGTTGGAACCAAATCAACCACGCAACGCAACTCAAGAAGAGAGCATCTTCACATGGGTCTCTGCTTCTCCTCTTTCTCTCGCTCTTCCCTCAACCGTCCTCACTATTCAGGCGAGTCCCGCAACACGACACGTGTCCTTCCTCCCTTTCCCCCCGATTCGAATATTCTCAGGATCATTGATAGGTTCGGTTCCTCTGTTTTCAGGTTCAGCAAGCACAGACAGCAAGACCGTGGGATTCTCCGCAACCACGAGCAGTGCCGGAAAGAGCCAATTCTCGGAGATTGCGAGTGGAAGCATCGACGGCGAAGGTTCCTTTCCCCTTCCTATTGCTTCCTCTCATGGCCAGATTCTGGAACGCCCGAACCTGAAGGTTTTCAGCTTCGGGGACTTGAAATCTGCGACGAAGAGTTTCAAGTCTGACACATTGCTGGGTGAAGGTGGCTTTGGAAGAGTTTACAAAGGTTGGTTGGATGAGAAGACCCTCACACCTGCTAGAGCTGGTTCTGGCATGGTCGTTGCCATAAAAAAGTTGAACCCTGAAAGCACGCAAGGCTTTCAAGAATGGCAGGTCACTTCACTTTCATCTCTTCCGTTTTCTTTGTGGTTGAAATTTTTTTTTCCAATTCCACTTTTTCTTGTTAATAATTAATGCGGTCTCCATTGGTTAATATTCTATTTACTTTTAAAATTTTATCTAAAAATTCATGTAACAAAAAATGATGTTAAATTAAAGTGTGTATCACTAAGTTGAAATTTTAATTTAAACCAAAAAATAAAATAAAAAACATCAATGATACACGTAAGTTTTTACCTTAAGAAACATGGGGTGCAGTTTGGAGCTATTTTTTTAGTGATTGACGACTTGGCTTTGAAGGGGAGATTGGAATTGAAGCGTTAATTAATATGGCGGTGATGGTGGTTTTGACTGTGCAATGTGGAGATACAGATATGGATGATGGCAGGAATTTCTCATTCCACATGGGATATGATATTAAAAAATAAGGGTGGGTCCGCAAGGTGGTCGTGGAATGTGGTGGGAAATTGTGAGGGGTCCCACCTATTTGACCTTTATTTTCTTCCATCCATTGGTTATGCACGAGGCAAGATGGGTTTTTAAATACGTTTGCCTTAATTTCCACACTATTGAATTCTTGACTCGTGATATTTTCAAAATGGGCGTTTCCCTTTCGCTTTTAAATTTCGGATCATTTTCGCTGCCTTTAGATCATACCATCGTCCCTTGACTTTTTCATTACAATAAGGGAAATGCATTGATGGTATTGCCATCTCGCAAAGGGACTATTTTTTAAGTTATTATTGTTCAAGTAGTAAGTAATATGTTAGCTTTGAGTTTACGTGTGAATGGATTTATGTTGAATATGCATTTATTATCACCTTATGAATTAGTGGTTTCTGAATTATGACCGAGCTTAATATTGTCATGTAATCTGTGTAGTCAATTTTACGTAACTGGATAATGCTAAGCAGTTGTTATATTGTGTAAGTAATTTCAGTTGCCACATTGCATTTAGGCTTATGATGTAACCAACGCAATCAGACATGCGATAAATCTTACTTCAAGCTATCTGATTGTATAACATGTTTTTCTCTTGATTGAAAAAATGCAGTCAGAAGTCAACTTTTTGGGAAGGCTTTCTCACCCCAACTTGGTCAAGCTATTGGGTTACTGTTGGGACGATGACGAGCTTCTTCTTGTGTACGAGTTCATGCCAAAGGGAAGCTTGGAGAACCATCTCTTCAGAAGTATGAACGAGACAATTAAAATGAGTAAAATAAAACTCCTCTTCGTGAATTTGAGTTTAATTTGCTTTCTTTGCCGTGTTTTTGTGAGCAGGAAATCCTAACATAGAACCACTTTCTTGGAACACCCGACTTAAAATAGCCATCGATGCAGCTAGAGGATTGGCTTTCTTGCACTCTTCGGAAAAGCAAGTCATATATAGAGATTTCAAGGCCTCTAATATACTTCTTGATGGGGTCAGTTATTTATTGTTAGTTGACATCTTTTTTTGTTTGTTAGTCATTTTATCTACCTTTACCCTGATTTCAAGAGATTGAAACTAAAACAAATGGAGTATCAAATTGGAATTGATGAATATTTTACAAATTTGGATCCCATTGTTTGTTTCACTAACCAAACGCTATTAATACTATTAAATGCTACAATTTTCAATAACAACTTATTATTTATTATTTTTTATCATGTGCAATGTTGCAGAGGTTATAAAAATTGATATTTTTAAAGTAACAAAATTTTTATCTTTTAATGCTGAATTCTTTAAATAATTTTCATAACCAATTGTTTTGTGTCCTACAGAATTACAAAGCAAAGATCTCAGATTTTGGCTTGGCTAAATTTGGGCCATCTGGGGGAGAATCACATGTAACTACCAGGATCATGGGCACGTATGGTTATGCTGCTCCGGAATACATCGCAACAGGTAAATTATATCTGCACATAATTGGCAATTAAAGCAGCTCTAAGTCTATCTTTCAACCCTATTATTGACTCACTCAGCTTAATAAGATCCAAGCTTTCCATGCTATACAGTAAGATGGAAATGCAAGCAAAAGTCAAAAAACATTCTTGAGTTTTTCTTTGAGAAGAAGTTCTTCATTTTCATTTCCTATTTTCACAAATAACAACTGAAGTGTCACCTTATTTCTTGATTTCAAAATTTTGTACAGAAATAGTAAAAGCAAGATTTATGTTGTTTCCACCATTTCCTGTACAAACCTCTTGTAGTAGGAAATAAAGTGAAATAGAGGGGACATATTGACATTTTGTAGTTATTCCTAAAACAGGAAATGGAAACAGACACAATTTTCTTAAACCAAACAGGCTTCAGCATAACACTGTAGTAGTCAATGCTTTGTGAAAGATGAAATTAAGGAAGCCAGACTAAAAAATGAAGAATAGTTTGGTCTAATCCTTTGACATACCACAAACTAACATGCCTTTGAATTGTATCATTATTTCAACAGGCCACTTGTATGTGAAGAGTGATGTGTATGGCTTTGGTGTAGTGCTGCTTGAAATGCTTACAGGTTTGAGGGCACTTGATACAAAACGCCCAACAGGGCAGCATAACCTGGTTGAATGGGTTAAGCCTTATCTCTCCAGCAAAAAAAAGTTGAAAACCATTATGGATGCTAAAATAGAGGGCCAGTATTCACCCAAAGCAGCATTACAAGCGGCACAACTTACTCTAAAATGCTTAGAACCTGACCCTAAACAGCGTCCTTCTATGAAAGATGTACTTGAGACATTGGAAGCAATTGAAACTATCCATGACAAAACCAAGAACCGCAATTCTCAGCACACTTCTAATCAACCTCCACTTCATCCTCGGCATAGAGTTGTAAAAGTATAAATTAATTTTTATATATGGAAAGAAGAAACACTAGGAACTCAGATTGAATAGTAAAATATGGTCTAATTGAATATTTTCTATTGCTGGTTTGAAGGGGAGATTTTCACACGCCTTTGTCCAATTCTGTATGATTTTTTCTGTTGAATTGTTCACATTTTTACAAAGTCGTAAAATATTTGATACACGTGGCCTAATATGTCACTTTCTTTTGGGACTTCTTATTTTTTTCCCCCTCAACGAATGGAAAATTGATGCTTCAGTTCAGTCGTCAGCTTTATGCTGTACGGTTAAGATTACGTTTTACTAGCCGTTTTTTCTCTTTCAAATATCATTTCTTGCATAAATAATATTTAACAAAAACAGCTTACTTTTTTCATCTGCTTGTCCTTCTCATGTTTGAGGAATAAGTCCTCGGTCGCTTCCAGCTTGGAAATTGGATTATAATGCAGCTGAAATGAAGTAAAGACTACAAATTTTTTTTATGTTGCAAAACTAACGGCTTTTTTTTTTTTTTTATCTAATTATTGCTTTTTTAAAAATAAATCATTAAATTTGTTTAGGGTAAGAAAATTTTCTTAAGTTATAAAATTATACTGGATAATCTATTCTTTGAAGAGCCTTTACATATTAAAAAAATCGTGAGAAATCATGAAAATAGCCTTATTCTTTAAAGACCAATATTTCGAGTAATTTTGAAGGTTTTTTATGAACTAGGATGCATTGAAAGGAGTTATTTTTGCTCAAAAAATATGGTTGACAGAAAATTATTCTAAGTCCATAAAACTAGAGGCTTTATTGAGAAGTTTTTAGGAGTTTTTAAGTCTCTTACACCCAAAATTGCTCAAAAAATTAGAACTGATAAGAAATTATTCTAAATCCACAAGATTGGAGGTCTTTCGAGGAGTTTTTGAGGATTTTCAAGTCCCTGATACGCAAATGTCGAAAACAGGAAGTGGTCAGAAAATATTCTAAGTCCACATATCTGGTTGAGCTCTAAATTTCCTCTAGAAATGCTCAAAAATCAAAAAGCGGTTAGAAAATATTTTAAGTCCACAAATCTAGTTGAGCTCCAGATTTCCTCAAGAATTGCTCGAAAAACAGGAATGAGCAGAGAAAATATTCTAAGTCTACGAGACTAAAAAAAGCTCTCAAATTCATCAGAATTAGTCGAAAAATAGAAATCGAGGAGAAAATTATTCTAAGTTCGTAATGCTAAAAGATCTTCTTAAATTTCTCTCAGAATTGCTCGAAAAATAGAAAATAAAGAGAAAGATTCTAAGTCTATAGGAGCCATGATGGCACTCAAAAATTATTATAAGACTCAGAAGCAGTTACCAGTAGTTACTACCAGATGAAGGTTCAACAATACGAAGAAGGATCGTGGACAACCGACAGCACGATTAGAGACATTTGTGGATAATGGGCAGCAGTTGAAGACAGTTACCGAGAAGTATCCATGAAAAAAAGGAGAACAATGGTGGTTTCCTTTGCCTATAAATACATCAAAGCTTCATTTTACAGAAGATGACTTTTGACACCTAGACATCACACATAAAATTGTCTGAACGCTGAAAATCTGCACCGCACTAGACACCAACTACAAGAAGATATATAGTGTTGCTTGTCATTGCTAGGAGTCGTACGTTTATTTTCTTGCATATTTACATTCCTGTATTCACTTTTAGTTTGCTTTATTTTGCTTTCTGTTCCTACAATTTAGTTCTTATTTAAGCACGTTTCTATAAAAATCTTTATGCTGTGATTCAGTTCTACAATATCATTGTTTATTATTCCTGTTTAACAATTTGTTTCACGACGTCCATTTTAATTACAACACACTTAAAAGAACCTAAGAGGACCTAAATCCAGTTCTCAAATTACTCTTGGATTATTTGTTTACAAATTGTTATTTTTTACCATAAACAAATTGACAAGCCCAGTGGGACTCTATTTTGTGTGTTTTATTAAATGATTAATTGTTTTGTTATGGCTAATAGAGGAAGGAACAATGATTCTAGTTCTAGGAATGGTAATTCTAGAAATGATGGGAGCACTACAAACCTAGAAATGGTAAGCAGCAGTGCTAATACTGCCACACAACCAACACAAACGACGGTGTTACCTACGCCGTCATCCCCCGTAGTTAGCCAATTTATGGCTACTATGCCAAGCAACCTTGACATGAATTCGAGTCCGAGGCCAAGGCTGAGTGATCAGTCATTCAACCTACCTCATGTGTCCATTCTACTTATTTTTGGAGTACCAACATACTCCAACCTTGTGGTGACAACCATGTTGCCTTAGAGCCACACCATTCCATCGGGAATGAGTGCGGTTCATACCATTCCATTGGGAATAGGTACAATTGGCGGGATACTGGGAATGCAATTGGCGTTTAGAGATTCTAGTAGGAAACCACTTCCTGGTAGCTCTTTCTCGAATGTCACCTTACATTCCATGAGGCAACAAATGGATGAAAGTAACCATGAGATGGTCAACATGTTAACTCATCATATTACCACTGTATAAAATCCCATAGTAGAAACTACTAACACCAGCTATCAAGTGTTAGCTGAACATATATGTCAAATTGCTGACATCTTTGGGGCACCTTAAGTCCCTATGAGGCAAGGGTGAAATGTCGCCTAAACTCCTAATCGAAATGCACCTAATTTTGATCAAAATGATCAAGTATTTGAGCAAATTGGTCCAAATTTTGACCAAAATCTTTCAATACAAAATGAGGGAAATTTCCAGGTAGACCAACCCCCAATTTTTGCTTAAAATCAAAATGCTCTAGTTGAGTAAAATGGTCGAAATCTCGACCAAAACCTTTCGAGAAAAAATGAGGGTGACTTCTAGGTTAATCAATCTTTAATTATTGCTCGAAATTAGAATGCTGATGAAATATTAGAGCAAGTTAGGTAAAATAATGTAGGAGGCATCAACTTTATCACCAAAAATAATCTGAATCCCCAAAATATTGCAAAGGTAGTAGAACAAGTGATGAACCAACGTGGTTTCGACATAGGGTATGCTAATAGACCATACTTTGTCTCAACATATTCTGAGGCAATTTTGCAGGCTAAACTGCCTCGAGGTTGGAAAGTCTCGAAGTTCTCTAAATTTTTCGGAGAATTCGACGAATCCATTGTTGAACATATAGCTAAATATGTTATAGAATGTGGAAATTTAGCTCAAAATGAAGATTTAAAGTTAAATTACTTTCATAGTTCTTTGACTAAGAGGGCTTTCACTTGGTTCACAACCTTGCCCCTGAATTCAATTCACAATTGGAACCAACTAGAAAAGAGATTTCATGAACAATTCTTTTGTGGTGAAGCGAAAGTTAGTTTAATAGATTTAGTCAATATAAAAAGAATGCATAATGAATACATTGGTGATTATCTGAGTAGGTTTCGACAAATGAGATCAAGATGCCTCACCAAAATCCCAGAATATGAATTAGTCCAAATGGCTGTAGGTGAGTTAGAATATTCAATTAGAAAGAAATTAATTAATCAGCAGTTAAGAGATATGTCATAATTAGTAATGAAAGTGAGGCAAATCGAGTAACTTAAGGTTGAGAAATATGCTCCAAGAAAAATTGAGAAATTACCTCGACAAGATAAAGTGGCTTACATAGGTCTCGCTGAGGGAGAGTTACGAAGTGAGAATGACCTTGATGAAAAATACGTCAATTTAGGGGTAAATGAGGTGAATGTCGCTGAACTAAAGCCAAAACCTCCTTAAAATAAAGATAAAACTTGGCCTAATAGAAGTTATGCCTTTGATGTTTCTAAAGCTGATCATATTTTGATATTTTGCTGAGAGATGGGCAAATTATGTTATCTAATGACCATAAGATCCCTATTTTAGAACAAAGAAAACGTAAAAAATATTGTAAATTTTACCACGTTTACGGTCACTAGACTAACAATTACGTTCATTTCAGGGATCTGATTCAGGACGCTATTAAGTAAGAAAGGTTGAAATTCGAGCAAAAACCCAAGATGCCAATGAAAATTGACTCTGATCTAATGCAAGTTGAGACCAACTTTGTGGAACCTATCGACATACTGATAGTCAATGTTACTGAAGAAAAGAAAGATTTCGACTCGACTGTAGAGGAGTTCAAAAAAAGAGGAGATTTGGCCGAAGCTTTCAAAAATTTTGAGAAGGAAAATGCTTAAATTTTTCTAAAAGCAGGGGACATATTGTTGGATTTTCTTAGTTGGAAAAAAGAAGCCGATAGCGAAGTCATGCTTTGCCCTAGATACCGTGCTGTCTTATACAAAGCAACAGCCAAAGCTTTCGAGCAAACTGAAATGAAGAAGCACTATCAGGTGACCACTAACCAAGTGATCACTAAGAATAAAATGATCCAAACCCAAAATGCTTCGATCACCATACGGGACCCCCAAACTGTTCAGAACAGGACCTTTGTGCCTGCTCAAAATGTCCCGAACAACAAATGGGTTCGGAATGTGCTGCACCCATCACTAACTCGACAAAAGTGGCAATTGGTCAAAATGAGAGGACCTTCACAACTAGTAGTTATGCCCCAGCCTGTTTTCTCACAACCTCAAATTTTCGCTCAAACTGAGTTCCATAACCTATCAGGGAGTCATTTTTAGTCGAAAAAGCCTTACTTTAAGGCCTTTATGACTAGGACCCAATGGAGAAGAGCCCAAAGAATCAGAAAGGCCGAATATGAAGCACAAACTTTGGCTTAAGCGCAAGCTCAAATTTGAGCTCAAACCTAAGTTCATCCAGCCCAGGCAAGCGCTGTTAGAAACATGTGGCATATCCCAGTTAGAATCGAAGTCAAAATGACTCAACAAAAAGCACCAGTCAAAAAGAGAAGTTGAAGATGAAGAGTCCAAAGATTGAATATGATCCGAATGATGAATTAATCACTGAATTATTTGATTCGGGATTCAATGATGATCTCACATACATCCTAGGGGTCATATTAATGCTGCCTGCAGAATATGCTGAAGGAATCGGTGAAGGGACGAAGAAGACTGCTGATGATGAACTCGATAATAACCCCTAGGGTTATTGTTATTTGGCAGAGAATGGTTCTCTTGCCAAGTCATCGGCTACTTTCGAGAAGCCAACACTAGAAATGAAGTGCTATTAATATCATGCCCAGTTTTTTACTCAAAAGGATCGGGAAGGTTGAAGAAGATTTACTGCCCCATAACTTGGTGTTGACCAACTATGAGGGGAAAACCTCAAGTGCTAAAGAGCCCTT